ATAATATATATACGATAGACAATTTTATATACGAAAGAGAGGTTATTTGCTGTTGTAAATGTCATAAACTCAAGTGGAAAGGCATTTTTTTGAAATACTAAAAGATTGTTTTAATCAACATGGATTACATCTTGACAAAGTTGTTGGTGAATCTTTTGATGGGGCAAGTAACATGAGTGGTTCATTTTCTGATCTCCAATCATTTATAAAATCTATAAATAATAAAAGCGTTTAAATTTGGTGTTATAGCCATGTACTAAATCTTTGTATATGTGATACAGTTTCTAATCTAGATGCTAAAAATTTATTCGGTCTTCTCAACAGATTATCTACATTTTTTAGTAGTTCATATAAAAGAATGAATGTACGGGTAAATGAAAATAAACTAAATAATAGTATTGGATCAGAAAAATTAAAAAAACTTCAAAAAATATCTGAATCAAATACAAAGTGGTGGTCAAGAAAAAAAGCACTAGATTGGGTTTTTGATGGTGATGGTGCTTTATTTCCTGTTGTATTAAGTGCATTAAACCATATTACTACAGAGTAGTACAGACTCTTCATTTGATGCTAAATGTTTATCTGAAGCACGATCCTTAATAGGCAATTTGTGTGAATTTAAAACAATAATAACTGCTCATCTCTTCCTCCACATTTTCAAAGTAATTGGTCCAAATTCTGATTATTTACAATCGAATAACATTGATATTTTAAACGCATGGACTATGGTTGAAAATACAAAAAAAGTATAAGTTATAACATATAAGGTCTAAACTTGATTTGCGAGGTGATTTGCAAGACTTGTATTGATTAAATAAGCAAAAATAGGTTTTAAAATTTTAAGGTTGATTATGGCATATGTTTTTAATGCAGTAATAGAGCTATTTTTTATGTTTTGGGCCGCTTTCCAAAATTTGCCCACTGGGCCACTGGGGCAGCTAAGAATTCGCAAAAATTTTTCTTTTTAAATCTAAGATTTGAAAATATAATACAAGATTACTCAGAAGTTTGTCTACCTTTATCAATAAAAAAATCTCTACCGGACAGTCAAATTAAATTTTTATGAGCGTTTGAAATTCAAATTTTTACAACATTGGATGTTCACTCGATTTCTCATGTAGCGATTTCCTTATTTTGTTGTAATTCAAAAACGAATAACTGTAAATACATGAAAATTTCACTGAATGTTTATATTAGCATTTCCTATACAACATACAATTTTGAAAATATTTTGACTCTTTTTGAGCTGTTTACGGACATTTTCAGTTTTCAATTTTTTTAGTTTTTTTTTTTTATAATTGTCAATAAAATTTTATTTGGTGGGCCAAAAAGTCTGAAAATTTAATACAAGCTTTCTTATATATTGTTACAATATCATTTGAAAAATTTTAAAAATACATAGGCACGTTTTTTTTTTTATAAGCATTTAAAGTTGGAATTTTGACAAAATTTATCAAAATCTCGAAAATTATCAATCGTTGGAATTAAAAAATTATAAAATGTTCAGTTTTTATAACTAAGAGTTGAAAATTTAAAACAAAGATTCTCTTAAATAATTCATACTGTAACCAAAAAATCTAAAAAATATATAAACACACTTATGTTTTACAGACATTTTAATTTCAAATTTAGACAAAATTTCATATATAAACCAAGAATTACGATTTTAGTTATTTTGTTGTGATTGTATAATATTATTCGTGGGTACTTGAAATTTCTAAAGTAATAATCTACTATATATATCTATGATAGTATCAGGGTTTGTTGTTGGTGTATAACGCGTTATAAGTACCTAATGGGTATTGTGTTATGATTAATTTGGAATTCATTATAGGTCAATTTTTTTTAATACCATATAGATATGTATATAATATGTCTTATACCTAGAAGGACATACCGTTTCCGCTCAGAATCGTTTTTCTTATACAATGATATTATATAATTGAATTCAAATTTAATACCATCCATTATACAATGACCCACTTGTAACCTACTGTACAGCAGAGCGACACCCACTTGCCCACCTTTTTTTATTTTTTTTTCCTATGAATATCAATAAAGTTTTATCGGTTGGGACAAAAGTGTATAATTTAATACAAGGCTCCTGATATATTGTTACAATAGCAGTTGAAAAATATTAAAAATACATAGGCACAATTTTTTTTTAAAAGTACCTATTTAAAAATCGAGTTTTGACAAAATTTATCAAAATTAAAATTGAATAATTATTTTGTAGTTAAAAATGTATAAAATGTTCAACTTTTATATCTAAGGATTGAAAATTTAAAACAAGATTCGCGATAGTAGTTAATTCTGTTACCAAAAAAACTAAAAAATACACAAGCAAAGTTTATTTTTACAGTCATTTTAAGTTCAAATTTGGACGAAATTAAATATTAAAAACCTAGAATAACTATTTTAGTTATTTTGTTGTGATTGTATAATATAATTTGTGGGTAATTGAAATTTCTGAAGTATACTATTATATATCTATTATAGTATCACGGTTTGTTGTTGATGTATAACAAGCTATAAGTACCTAAGGGGCAAGGGCTATTGTGATATGATTAATTTGGAATTTATTATAGGTACAATTTTTTTTTTTAATGCCATAGATAAGTTTATAATATGTTTTATAAGTAGAATGACATACCGACTCCGCTCAGAATTGTTTTTCTTATAGGTACAATGATATTAAATCATTGAATTCAAAATTAATACCATCCATTGACCATTATACAGTGACCCACTTGTAACCTTTTTTTATATTGTTATTATTGATTATAGTCTGTTTGTTGAATTAATATTATAATATTATTATTTTTTATTCGTTGCTATGGTAATAAACAAAGCGTTAGAAATTAAAAATCCGTTTTTGAATGTTTTTAGAAATTTGTGGGTTGTTTTTCCTGTGGTGTACTGGTGTTAAATAAATATTGGAAAAATCGAAAGATGGCCTTTCTAAAGTACCATCTGGATCCAATTTTCTAAAAGATAAGGTACTATATGTTGAAATCGAAGAACTCCTTCTGGTAGAAATTTTGTATACAATATGAAAAAAAAAAAAAATAAACAACATTGTAAAACCACTAGCTTCCTCGCTCTGTTCAGAATCCAAAATGTAACTTGTATATATTGTACCTGAATTTTTTAAATAATAAAAGGCAGACATACTATTATTCATAGTGAAGTAAATCAGTGGCATGTGATATAGGGTCCAAGTGTTGCTCAGCATCACATTAAATATGGGTAGGTGGATCTTGTGTGACCAATTGTCAGGTTAGGGGTTTATTTGAAAGTAATAATAATAATAGTAATTAATAACTCATTCTAAACTATTACAAAACTTATTTTATAATGTTAAATACACAAAACATTATTTATTTTTGAACACAAAAAATTGGAAATATCAATATTAACCTAATTTAAAAATTAATACATTTTATTTTCAATAATAAAATAATTAAAAAAATAATATATATATATATATATATATATATATATATATATACATTAAAACTTTTTTTAAGTCGGAATCCTTTGGGATCGTCCAATTTTTCCGTCTTGACGGAGTTTCCGATTTGACAGGGTTCGCATTGATTATGTATTTGAATCGGGACCCAAAGAAAATTACCATATTACTGGGGTTTTCGTCTTACCAAAGTTTTACTGTATTTTTATTATTTACATACTATATTATACAGTTACAATATTTTTTCCTTCTATTTTTAATTAAAATATATAACATAAAATGTTTCAAAAAATGTATTAAAATAATATATAAATTAATTTGTATGCAATATTATTGAAAAAATAATTTAAATAAACAAATTTACAAGTTGGTAATTTATACATTAGTTAATATGGTAATTATGGTCATAAGGAAAGGATTTAAAAATTTTAAATTAATTAATTTGAATTTACCAAAAAAAAAATAAAACGTACATAAAATCAGTATTATTTACTAAGGGCCGTTTTTACAATGTCCGGTAAAGTGTCGGTTAACGCTAACCGACTGATAACAAATTTTATTACCAGCAGAATTCGGCTGGTTAAGTGTTGATTAACTTTAACTGGACATTGTAAAAACGGCCCTAAATTTAGTAAATAAAGTATAGTTAGAATATAATCATAATAATCATATTGTTGTAAATTAATTGATATTTAGTTACGATATAATTAAAAATATATATATACACTTCTTAGTAAACTAATGATTTTCCTACACCCACTATCATTTTTACCTTAGAGCAGTGTCGTGGTTGGGTAACTAAAATCAGAATCAAATTTGATATATTAAATAAAAACTCACACTTTCATAAGAGAATCTAGGAAATTTTAAAAATGTTATTAGAACAGGCTAAACGATAAAAAAAAAAAAATTCTAATTACAAAATAAGTATTTTAAATCCTATTAATTCAGTATGTTATCTAGGTATTCAGTATTAGGTCAGGTCAAGGCATGACCCATAGTTTTGCCCATGCACACATTTCTAGAAAATAATTTTTAACTCCAAAGAAGCTCAACCTGGGAAATTTTTATTTCTTGGGGTTGTTTACGTTTACAGGATTATAACAACCTTAGTGTTGGACCATGGTTGCCATTTTATAATACATTTTAGTGATGGGCAACAATATCATTATTTCGATAAAATATCGATATCGTGGCAAATTTTTGATATCAATATTGTTTTATACATCGGGAACTAGTTATTTTTTCTTATCTTCAATTAACTAGGTAAAGCAACATTTTTTATTCAATATTTATATTTTTAACTATTGATTTTAATAAGTACTAAGAGGTAATATTTAAAATGTGTATTTTCTATATTTTTGATCTGATATTGTGATAAATAACGGAAAAATCGGAACAATATTTATACACAGAATTATATTGTTGCCTATCACTAATAAATTTACATGCAAATAAATATTCCTAAATCTCAATGTATACAACTTTATGAACAGATTAAACAATAAGATAAAAACAATATAATAAATTATTTACTTGAAGTATTTGGTTTTTTTTTTAATCTGCAAAAATAATAACATTATTATGAGGGGATTGTACATTTTTTAAATTAATTTTATATTATAACTCACTTATAAGCTAATCTTGACTTGAGTGCACACGTAAACTTATTAGCAACTTTTTTATCTAATGTTGTTTTGTCTTCCAACACTTTTTTGCAATTTATAATTGTCATTGCCATTTCTTTACAAGTCATCTTTGGTGGGTCACGCTTTTTCTATAACGATTAAAAATTTGGATTAGATGTTTGGTATAATACCCAATTTTGTTTTATTTAAACATAATATACAAATTTTTTTTTGCATTACAGGAGGTGGAGTATTATCTGCAACAAATTCATCAATTAAATCAGATCCAGGAAGAACTTCTTCTTTAACTCTTTTCGTATTTAAGTGACCATCTAATGTTTTAAAATAAAATTATACTATTATACAAAACACATATAAATTCTAATGATCTTACTTGTAATTTGTTATATATTATTCAATATTAATGTAATTTTTAAGTTAGTACATACTTTTTTCATCTATAATTTGAGTAACCAATCCACCTCTTTTTTTACCATTAGTTTTTCGAAGCTTTACATCTTGATCATGTAATCTAAACAAATTAAAGAAAATTAGAATATTAGGTATATTAGATATAACTTATTAAAACACATTGCATAATATATATATAGTTTTTTTATAGTAATACTTAGTACCTAAGCAATTTAATAATATTATCATACAACTACAGAGTCTAAATGTAATGCTCAAGTCTCTCTTTATATGTCTGATGATCCTTTTATTTTATATATTTAAACAGTAAGCTTGTAGTAATATTATTCCCACAAAACATGGTTGGTAGATTAACAAACTAAGATGCATGTGAGTTATTAAGGCAACCGATATATTATACTCTATTTACATATCTCTTAATAATAATATGAATATACTATTTTAATATTTATCATATTAACACATGCATTTCTATTTTGTTGTCCATTAAATTCTTTAACTCTACTTTAATAAATGAAATATAAAAACACATCAACTACCATTAGGCACTAATAAATTGAATTGTGTGAATAGTGCAATAGAAGGTTAACATAAAACAATCATGCAGAATTATAGTCAGTGACCTAACAATTAACACGGAACACAATATATTAAGCGGATATGTTCCCAATAACCAAAATGGTCTATACATGGTTGTTTAAAGAATACAAAGGCAGTCATCCAAATACCTTAATTAAAAATATATAATTTTCATTAAAGAATTCAATATAAATTAGAAAACATTATTTTGCTTACTTTTTAATTAATTTTCTAGCTAATTGATTAGCAAATTCCGTACGTTCACCAGTACGACGATTAGCCAAACGTTCTTGAATCAAGTTTGTTAACTCATCATTAGTGACAATTTGCGATGTCATTATCTTTTTAAAATACAATAATAATAATTAATTTTTTTGTATATATTTATTATCATAAAACAATAATTAGTTACTTTTTTCTTTGATGGTCTGATGTATACACCATCGACTAATTCATCTTTTGTTTTTGCTAAATTCAAAGACTTTTTTGAAGCCATTTTAAATATATTTTGAAATTTGGTATATTCAAGTTACACTAGACCACAGTTATTAAAGGTAAATTAATATTGTATGTTTTAGTGTTTTACTTGTTAAAAATTATTTTATATTTAGAAATTTTGTAGATCTGTTAATTCTTTAATCTTTATCATGTTAATTTAATATTCATTCGTAACGCATTAATGCATTATACTTTTCGTGAGATAATAATATGGCCAATGGGATCATTTATTATTAATTTTGTATAACATATAAAACATGAAAATGAAAATATGAATTAATCACTGAATATTGAATAATATAATAATTGTAATTAGATTATAATAAATAATAACATTACAAATAATTTGTCACAGAATAGATTAAAATATTATAATATTGTAATTTATAATTTATATTATCTACTATAAATTGTTTGTGTTACTTATCTATTTTAAATAAATACATAAATACAGTGTCTCCACCACAAACCAGTTGTTATCTCATCCCGGGAGAACTAAAATAATAATAATAAAAATAACATGGTTGGGATTGTTGGGTGTCCATCAAGGGGTGGCCATCCTAATATATAAAATGACAAGGAAATCAGCTGTCTACAAGCAACCCGTGGAACGGAAAACGCAGTTATTGTGAAACCGTGGAGTAAAAAATGAAGCACCGCTCCGTTTCCCCAGCCCGCCGGCCATGTCCCGTCGATTCCTTATAGCGCGACCAATCGCGTACCTTCGCAGCGGCGGCAGTCGGTTTTTAAACGTTTTTCGTTATCACCTCTTTTCCTATCATTTCGCCGATTTTTGAAATTTTCGGAAAATTAGCTGTTTTTACACGATTTCGACCCTTTCCGTCCTTTTTTATACTTAATTCGAAGCCGCCGGTGTGTGGTTTATATTCGTGCGCCGTTCGAAGCGGTCGCAATGTCGATCGAAAAATACACTCCCGACTGGACTTTTTTGCCGATTTTTTCCTTTTCTCCCACCGTTTCGTCTATTCACACGCCGTTTGTGCCCGAATCGTGTAGTCGACGTCTTTTTAAATCCGTTTATATGGGCTTTTCCCCCGAAATCGGTTCGTTCGCCTCGCAATCGCGTTTATAAATTACGCCGGCGACCGACCGACCGTATATATACATGTATAATTTAATTTTTCCCTATGATTTAATAATTATTAACGAAAAACGCTTTTCACACGCCCCGTTAAATATATATATGGGAGATGCGCGTATTACAAGCGAATTATATGCGATTACATCGATGTACATCGAATATATCGGTTTACGTCGCTCCGTAGACGCACGGCTTAAGTGTTGATGTTTTGATCATATTTCACATCTCAAAACTGTGTCCAAGTAGGTTAGATGTTAGGTAGAAACACGTAGGTCCCGGGTTCGAATCCGTCGTACGCTGCCCGAGCGCCGAATCTGGCATTGCCATAAGGTCTACACGGCCGCCCGGAACCGGATTTTTTTTGCATTTTTTTTTCACGTTATTTTTAATATAAATTAAATAATAATATAATAATACAGGAACATATCGTACATTATTATTATTTAAAGTCATTGTCATATTATATCATACAATAAATAGGTACATATTATATTTGTTTTGTTAGGAATTATTATAATTGCATATTTTTTCAAAAAGTCCATGATTGTTATATAAATATAGTTGTATTTTATTTCGGATTGCCTACCTAGGTGGCTAAATTGAAAGTTAATCGATTTTGACTTGAGATGACTGACTTGCTAGACACTCCAACACGGTTGTCGACTTTACACTTTTTACATAAGGAATGGCACCGGACATGCGAAGCCACATACCACTCTATGTGATATACCTACTATATATAGGTGATAGACGGATTGCTCATTTTAGTTTCGTCTTAAACGGTGATGATTGACTTGACAGACACTTTAACAGTTTAACATGCAGGTTTTTGCATTTTTTTTTTAAAATTAATATATATACATTATAGGTAGTGTTTATATGTACTTATTGTATTGGTTAATATAATAGTAGGTATGTATCTAACTATCTACCTATATATGTTAATTTTTTTTAGGAATTATAATTGCACTTTTCTCAAAGTGTTCATTGTTATATTATATCACACAATAAATACATATCATATTTGTTTGTATGTATATTGTATATAGTTTGAATTTTTCGTAAATTATTTCGTAAGTTGTGTGATAGGGTTTTCACTTATAGCCGCTTGACATCGGGTCTGCAATCCACCTGCGGTGGATTGCCTACCTGATTTTTTGTAGCACGTTGTCCGTGATCCGACGAAGTCGGATTGCCTACCTAAGTGGCTAACTTGAAAGTTAATAGATTTTGTCTTGAGATGACTGACTTGCTAGAAACTCCAACACGGTTTTCGACTTTACACTTTTTACATAAGATAAAGCACCGGTCATGCTACGGCACATACCACTCTATGTGCAGGTATACTCTATATAGTATATAGGTGATCCTGGAGATCGTATCCAGCCTATCCATTTACAACGTTTGTGACGGATTGCTAGACGCTCAAACTTTTAACATTCCCGCCAAAGCGTCTAGCCTTATCTCCAATCCATATCACTAATCCTTATCACAAATTCTAAGCTTTCGTCTTACAACATTTGCGACTTTTATAATTCATTGTCTCCAAAATCGGTACCCACTCCCAGTGAGTCCAACGAGCCCCGAGTTACACTTAGAGCTAGTATCATTCTAAAAGTGAAGCGAAAACGGGGTACTTGCAGTGCAACCATCATATGGAAAATAAATTGTTGTAAATATACTAACACATTATTTTATTTGGAATAATAAAAATTAATTTTAAAATAAGAAGAACAAATTTTACAAATGATGATTTTAGGCTAGACTCGCGTTACTTACAATTTTACAAAATTTAAAATACAGTTAAAAATTATAATTATAATTAAAATTATAATTTTTAATGCTAATCAAACATTAATCATTTATTATCAGTTATCACCATAGACCATAGAGTAATAAAATATAATGTCGATTATCCATTTAATTTCATGGTCGAAAACGCTATCTAGTGTTCACTAGAGTTGTAAGAGGGGTACAATGGCGTTCAATTTTGCTTCGATCTGATAATCATAATATCTGCCTAATGCCGCCTCTATAGTTTTATTACTCTATGGTGTCCATATTACCATAGATATTATCCAGTATTCCAGACTCCAGTATAGGTTAGGTTAGGTCTTAGATTATTACCTATGGAGTATCATGGAGCCCATGGCTTAAATATACAAGCAGGCTGATGGTATGGGTTATCGGGTTCAAGGGGGGAGGGTGGCTAGAGGCCGCCCCCCCCACAATCAAACTGTATTTCTAAACAATTGTATACTGTTAAAAACAAAATTATTGGCCATACCTTTACCCATTTCAAATATTTCCAATTTGTTTTTGATATCACAAAATATTAAACCACGTTAAATTTTCATAGTGCTTACATTTTCTTCACAGATTACAGTTTCTTTTCAATTTTCAACGACACGTAGAAATTAGAAGCCAGACATATGTCCAGATGGTGAAGCCTAAAGCTGTATGTCGTATGACCACAGAACCTAACCTGGTATGACGTTGCCAAAAACAAACATATTAATTATTTATTAGTGATCTAGTTCAACTGATAGGTACCTGATAAGGTTTATTATGTAATTTAGATGTTTTATAAACTACTAAAGTGAATAACATAATATATTTTCTATTGACTCGTCGATCATTCAAGTCCCTTCACCAGTAAGTTCACTTCATAATATTAAATTATGAATTATAAATGATATTATGTAATAAAATATGATTTCGCCTAATACTTATACTGTACTTGTACTTTATAGATTGTGGAATCTGGATTCGTGTATTATCAATTGATTACTATTTGAATAGTCGTAACTCGTAAGTCATTTAATGTTAAAATAAATATTTGATTTCACATTTAATGCAATATTGAATCAAATTTTCATTATAATAGTGTTTTTAATTGTGTGTAGGGCATTCATTTTGTCTTGTGATGGATTCCGGTGATGAGTTTACAAATGATGACGAAATCGAAAAAAGGGTTAGGACCCTTTGGGTGGGTAATCTTCATCCGAAAGTGTCCAGCCGAGATATAGCTGAACTGTTTTATCAGGTAATTATAATACATATAACAAACCGGAGATTGATCATACATATTTTATTGGATAAAGATTTATTAAAAACATATTGATCGTTAGATAAACAATAAAATAAAATTATACTATTTGGGTATATAAGAATATTAATATTATAAGATATAATAGGATATTATTATTAAATATATCTGTAGTTGGAAACGGGACACAATTCCACTTACATAATCTTAAATTAAATTTTAATTATGATCTCTATTATGATAACTAATTATGTTTTTTTTTTATTTTCATGACTTGCAATAATTATATATTTAATTTTCTTTTTTTATTAAAAATAAATAAATCTTTAATTTACTAATTAAAATTAAAAACAATAAGTAAATTTTATGATGACAATCATATTTATGTTTTGTGTTGAATATTTTGGCTACAAATTAAATATTTGGTAAGTTATAATATTGTGGTCGATTGTCAAACTTCCAACTGCAAAAGTAATGTAGTATGTATATAATTATTATCTTATTTTTAGTCAAACCTAACCAGTGGCGTATTTTGAAATTTTTTCTGGGGGGGGTCTAAGTATTAGGTACCTACAAGTTTATAATATAAAAAAAACACATACGAGTTACGATGTAATAATTATATTATATTATATTTTTTTCTGGGGGGGGTCCAGACCCGGGGACCCCCCCCGTAAATACGCCACTGAACCTAACTATATGCCAGTACATATTCCTATGTTATTTTAAATATTATATTAGTTTTATATTTTTGTTCATTTTTCTATCTATAAACCAATATGTTATTTAAATTTCTGTGCAGTAGAATATTTACTATCAAATAAATATTAATTCAATTTTTTCTGCATACTTCCTTTTGAAGGTGGGGCCAATTGAATATGTAGATTTTGCGTTTGACGGACATGAAATACGTGAAAACTTTGCTTTGGTTGTATTCAAATATTCAAGTTCTGTGGAAGATAGTATAAAATTATTTCAAGGTACTGAGCTATACGAGCTGCCGATAATAACAAAAAATTACTCCAAACACTTTGAAGATCCAGTTTTTAATGATCAACTTGACTATTTCAAACCACTAATTAAAGTCGAACGAAAATGTCAACCAACCATAGTCCTACTGAAAGTAAATGGATAGATCAAAGTTTAGATGAGAAAAACATAATTCCAGATACTCTGCCTGAACCTCCTATGCATGAATTATATAGAAATCAAGATGATTATGATCGCAGATCAGATAATGTGACTAGATGTAGATCTAAGGATAATTCAACTAAATATAGACATAGGCCCCTCATACCAAACATCATAACTCAGCAAACAGCGGGGATCATTATCAAACCGATAAATCTCACCATAGTCATAAACATTATAAAAAGTCTGAACACAACAGCAGTTCTAGTTCAATGGAAGTGTTTAATTATGATCGGGATTCTCATCATAATCAAAATACTGATCGTAAACACCATGATAATGTTAAGACATCATTTAATCGGAAAGAAAGAACATATCATAATCAGGAACCTTTGTTTGCACATGAAAAAAATGGTGCTAAAGATAATGCTAGACGTGATCTAAGAGATACTATGTTAAGGAACGTAGTCGCTTAGATTATAATTTCATATTGATACAAATGCTAATGCTGGTTGTACGTCACTATTAGATCTCAGGGATACTATGTATGGTCATAAAAGCAATAGATATGAAGATCCAGGACAACAATATTATGAATCAGATTCTAATAACCGGTGGTCAGAACAAAATCAGAACACACGTGGCAGTAGTAGTTTCTTAAATAGAGAACCTCGTAAAAATAACTTCAACTCTAAGCGTTACAATGAATCAAATACTAAACATCAAAATCATTATGCTGATCGAAGTTATAACCAAGATAAATCACATGATGATTTTCAAGATTATGACAGTGAATTTCCAAATAATTATAATGACGGTTATAGACGAGAAAAAAATAGGCCTATGAATCATAATTACAATAATCCTCAGAATATGGAATCCAGCAGTCGTCAGCACAATTCTTATCATCCTTACAAACGTAACAATGAAGGTCAAGATAGAAAAGATTACAACAATTTGTATGATGAACAAAGTGGTCAAAATCGTGGTAGAAGTTATAATAGAGGGGGTTCTGACCGATCAAAGCATAGTTATTATTCATAAAATTGATAGTTAATTAATGTTGTTTTAAAAATAAACTCATTATTGTACAGTCTTAAAAATAACTATTTGATAAGTACAGTTTTTTTTTAGTTGAAACTACATTATTTAAATATTTTTATATTTATTAATATAATCAATTAGTGCATAAATATAGAAATTCGCTAGACTAAACCGGTGTGAAAAATAATGCACCGAGATGTTTGGACCTTATCATTTATATGGTTCATTATCCCGGTGCGGGATAATGTGGGATAATTTTTAACCGGTTTAGTCTACCTAATTTCTATAATATATCTGTAAGAAAAAAATCTCTGGACAGATTTATGATTGTTTAATTTCTATTTAAATATACGTATTTTACACATTATTATTTAGTAAAAATTTCAACTTTAAGTACAAATGAATTACAACATTAAAACATAAATGTTACAATTCTTCTTTAACTTTAGTTATAATAAAAAAAAATCCGTACAATAAATAGTTTTAAGTATAATTTTTAAAGTATACTACTATAAAATACATATATAACAATTTGTATAATATTGTTTAATTAAATATTTTATAATTTAATATAATTATGAAATTTCTTTGTCAAGGTTAGGTTTGGCTTATTTAAGATTATCAGTGAAGCTATTATATCACTTACCTTAGCTAATATTGGTCACTAAAGACACACTACAGGTTAACACCGCATTATATCATTTTAAGATAATTTAGTAATGTACAATACAAAATAATATAAGTGGGTCTGCACAACAAAACTTGAAATTTAAAGAATATACCAACATACAATTCCCTGGACACGTATTGATTGGTATACCCAAAATATCTGTTACCTAAATATAATTTATTTCATGACCCACATCTCTAAAAGAAATTACTATGGTCAATAATCTAGAAAAGCTATAGCAATTTATATTCCATAGTAAAATTCCAGATTTTTGAGGTGAAAATGCGTCTTATGTATGTCGGTTAGATTGACATATTTATATTATTTTGTCTAATGTCTAATAGACATAAATAATAAAAACATGTTTATTTATGTCAGTAGAATACATCAAAAAATGTCTTAAAATAATATAGTGCAGTGCTGACCTGTTGAAATTGGTAAGTAGCAAATATTTGATAAATAATATTGTATAAAAATCCCCGGGAGAAGAAACCCTCGATGAATAATTATGGAAAAAAAATCCCCTGACTACAATATTACTCACAACCACATGAAAATGATAGAACAAATATATATTTAAATGTTAATTACAAATGTATAGGTAGGTGTACTTATAATTTAATGAATATTATAGTGGAACCTCAATAAATTAAACCTTATTAAGTAGAAATAAATACTGTTCCCTTTTTTTTTTTTTTTCAGTTTTGAACCAAAAACGCCTCGTGAATACTTTCACATTACTACCGAAGGTTTCATCCCTTGCCTAACCTAACCTCAGTAACTCGAAAAAATTTCATTTCTTTTGAATTTTGACTTATCGAGGTTCCACCACAGACAATATAGTTTCATATAGTCCGTGGTTTCACTGTAGCATATTTAAATATTGTACAGATTACAAGTTCAACAACTATAAAAAAATTAAAATTAAAGAGTCATTCGATAATAAAACCAATCTATTTTCAAAATTTATAAATAAATATTGAATACAATTTAACTTACTTTTATATTAATATTATAATTTTCTTATACATTATTGTATTAACAACAATATTTTATCTTATGTTTCAATATTAATCTTGTTAGTTGTTACCAATAAGTACACAATACAAGTCAATGGGTAACCTTTGAAGTCCTCGTATATTTTATACATTATTGTCAAAATATTAGGAGACATACTTTATTTTGTGGATTTTTATTCCGTTTACCGAACAAATATTTTTTTTGCAAATTCCATAAATAATAATTTCAATCAGACAATTTTTTTTCCTTAATTATTTGTCTTAGTTTCAATCATTACTATACACCTATTAAAAATAAAACAATAATTTTGCTACACAAAGCCTATGGCCTATAATCGCTATATTATTCATATAATATATTTTATAACACTCCAATTTTAAACAAATAAGGTAGCCACTTGCTTGAATTTCTAAATAAGTTGGTAAATAAATATTTTTGTGTGGAATTACAGCTTCTTTATTTTTCCAGCCATAACAAGAATTTATTTTCATATACATATACAAAAAAGTGGTCAATTCTCAAAGCACAAACTTAAATAATTTATAATATAGTTATTTAAACATGCATTTTTCTGACAAGTAATTCTTAAAAATAAGACAAGGAATATGATATAACATTTTCTATTCAATACCGATTTGAAGCAATTTTCACACATGAATTGTGTTTACAAAAAATATTTTAAAACAATAAATTATAATAATATAAAAAAACATACCTACATAGTATTTATATTTATCTACAAGTTAAACCTTTTATTAAATAGTTTCACAAAGTATTAAAGAAGTATACTTGATAAAATATTTGTTACCATTTAATGGTTATAGGAATCATCAAATTGAAACTTAAAAACAGATCTTAATATTAAGAATGTGATGTTATGGCATCATGAGGTTTTCCCATTTGTGTCAGCACTTTATCAAGCCATTGTAAAGGTCCATGTAAATGTATCTCAATCCAACATGGAGTACTTGTTACATCTTGACGATGATAATCAGCCCCCCAGCCTTTCACAAATGACATACGTATTGTACACATTTTGGTTAATTCAAAAACTGCCTCAAACCCATGGTTAACTGATTGTGATAAAAGACCAGCAAATTCTTGATTGTTAAATATACGCAATGAACAACCTGGTGGTATTTTACACACAGTAGATGGATGAAAACCGTGGTGCTGGTTACAATTACGTGATTGAACAAATATCGCAGAGTCAGATAAACATTCAGCAAAAACTTCACCACCAACATAATATAGTTGAACCCCTGAAAACATTTATTACTATGTACTGAAATTAATTTAATTTTGTCTCACAAGAATAATAATATTCATACCTTTGCCTATATGTCGTCTAGTATTTTCAATAGTTGAATTACGATTTACATTAGATAACTGACCAAGGCAAAAACGATTTAAATCATTTCTAGGATTTGTAAAACCATCCACAACCACATGAGGAGAATGACACTGGTATACTTCACCCACTCTAGAATTGAGTTCATAATATGCTATACTAGCCCAACAGAGTTGCTCCTGTAAAATAAGTAAAAAGTATTAAACAATCTGTCATTCTCATAAAAAGCTTTAAATTATACAATTACTCTAAAATACAATTTTTTACTTGATTTAACTTAATAATAAACAATTAAAGTATTAAACTTTCCTGAAGCCTGACTTGAGAAAAGAAATAAAAATTTGTCGGATGTTCCATTTCTTTTTTTTTATATTGTCATAAATCCTGTTATACTTAGGTAAAATATATTTTTTATAAGATTTTATTCATATTATTTGGTTTAAAATTCAGTAGTTACATCATGGTTCAGTTCAAAATAATTTAAGTATGAGGTATCTCTACGTAAAAATATGACTTTATAAGTTAAGGTATATGTTTGTAAAACATTTAATATCATATATACTTTTTAAAAATAAAACCATGTATTTGATTTTATAGTCAATTTTAATTAAATAACTTACTAACAAATATAAGTACCTATTTTTGTTTAAAATTTTTAAACATCAAGAAGATATTATATTTTGATAATATCTATTTTTATTTGTATTACTACCATAGGTTAAAGTGCAACCTCTACAGTCTAGATAATAAGTAATAAAACTAAATAACACATTTTACTTGATAGACTATTGGAATACCATCGAGGTCTTCCAAATTGGTATTTTTGTCAATATTATTAATTTTGTTTGGATCATCTGTTGAAGAAAATGAAGAATTTTCTGAAATATGCATACATATAAGAATTAAAATAGGGACCTTTAATATAATTATTTTAATTTTATTCTAAAATACTCTACCTATTAGAGATGTATCTGAAAATGGATTAATGTTATTTGTAGACGGAATTTGATTGGGGTCATTAGATGTAGTTTGATTAGTAGTTAATACACTTTCAGGGAATCCATCAGTGTTCATTGACACATTCATTGGCATTCCAACATCAATTGGTGGCTGATATTGCTGCAATGTCGGCTGTGGAGCATATTCGCTTTGGCGGGGAACTAGTACCGGAGGTAAAACTGCAAAAAAAAAAAATGTTTATATTTCAATAATAGTTAGTCTTGTGTCAGAAACATTCAATAATGAATATTTTGTATGAACTGTAAAATGTTACCAGGACTTTCGACTCTTTGATAGTGGTATGGATTTATGCAAACATCTTTTTGTTTAGCAGAAAATGGAAATTGACAGTGATCAACTGCTTTAAGCTCATGGTGTGACTGAAGATCAGGCCATCGCCATACTCTACAGTATATAACATGAGGTAAACCTTTTCTGTGAGATACCTAAGATGACAACGATTTTATTACAAGTTTATGAAAGTAAATAAATATAAAATATTATGATCTTACTTGCAATCGGCCATCTAGACTCCTTGGTATAGTGACACATTTACTTGGTTGTCCAGGTGAACTTAGAGCTTTTTGTAAATCTTCAGTTGCTCCTTTAGTTTTTTTTAACTTTTTCATCAGTGCATCTACAGCTTTCTCAGCCCATTTCTCTTCTTCATCTCCTTGTTTCCACCCAAGTAGTTTTTTTACAGATGGGCTAGTGAATGAAAATAAACTATTCAAAGCACCACCTGTAGTGTCCATTTCTTCAACCATTATTACTACCTATCCAAGTTGTAAAATATCCATATAATACACCATAAATTCTACATACTCAATTTCTTTATTACACGTACGATTAAGTGTTTAATAAATCATAAATATAATATGAACTTACATATAAAATTATTAACAATACTTACCAAGCTTAACACTTGGTTTATGGACCTACAGTGTATAACAAGTTTATATATACCTATATTTGTATATAAATCTTATGAATTATGTAAGTTAATAAATTACTAATAAGTTAATATAATAACATATTATCATATAAACTTCACTATTTATATATTCGTTAGTTTTGAGAGTGATTATTATTCATTGAGCAAATATTCAAAAAATAATAGTATAGAATCGGGACATTGAAAATTGCAATAGTCTCCGAGTCCTACAGAGTGACAAAATGAGCGCGTGCGCATTTTTTAAATATAACAAAATCGATAATTATATGCAGTATAACATCGATAATGTATTGATTTTTTACCACACGCATGCGCCATACAACCTACAGGACAGAATAACTGATAAGAATTATAACTTTAGTTCACGGCACGGACTAAGATATAATGGACTGGAAACGACATGGTGGGCGGGTGACGAGGGACGGCCCGCAAAAGGTTCCTCTGTTATCATCAACACTCATAATCGAAAGTTTTCAGCGCTACCAGTGGTTTTATTTAGCGTCATATTTTGTATCTCAGTCCGTGTTTTATACAGATGGCGCTGTAAACTCTGGATTATGGTTGCGACCCCCGCATTTGCTTCTTGTACATACTTTCGAGGCCACTGATAAGCTGCTCGTTTCCAGTCCATTATATCTTAGTCCGTGCTTTAGTTATATATATAATGTATATTTCAAATAGTCAATGACCTGTACTAACTGTTAAGGAGTTCTATCAGTGTATCTATCCCTTTGAGAATACAGATAACAGCAACATTTTTTAAACAAAATAAAGTTTTTAAATTGTTAGTTCTTTTTACTTATGGCCACCAGTCACTGCTAGGTACTTATATTATAATAAGTATTTTTGATTTCGTATGCTTCGTAATAATTATTTTTAACATTAATTATTATTATTATTATTATACATAATCTGCACCTATTAGCTTACAATTATTAATGTGAAGTGCGATTGGAAGTCATAATTAACGACTTGTTTGAGAGGCCGGCCATTGATGAAACTTTGGAGAATACTTGGTTGAATTTTAAATTGTTTCGCAAATCTCATTTAAATGCCTTTAGAGTTTAAGGGGTCACCTGGAAACTTAGCAGATTACAGCTTGAGACCAAAAGTTACAATGATTTATTAGTTTGACATTATAAGAGTGCAATTGTGTATTTAAGACAGGTGAATTATTTAAAAGATGGAATAGAGAGTAGGTATTTGATGAAGTCAGTGAATGGAGTATATACTGGAGCTTTGGTGATCAAGTGGAGTTATTTAAACTAAAATATTTGAATGCGATAAATGTTTGAAGACTTGGTTGAGGTCCCCAGTTGAATTCTATAGGTCCATATGAACATTGATAAAATATATTGTATATTTAATCAATGATACGATGTTGAGTAGGTAGTAATTGGTAGATGAAGATTATTTATTAATACTTGGATGTTTTACTCCGGTGTTTTGATGTGAAAAGAAATCATAACAATTGGTAACAATTTAACTTGAATAGGTACTTATCGTTACTTCAATATTTACAATGCATTCAATTTATTTTATTTTATTACCTATCTAATTTAGAAATCTCAAATCTATGACTTGAAATTATATTTTAGATTCTGAGCGGAGCGAGGAAGCTAGTGGTTTTACAATGGTGTTTATTTATTTATTTTTTTTTTTTTATATCCTGTATACAAAATTTCTGCCAGAAGGAGTGCTTTGATTTCAACATATAGTACCTTATCTTTTAGCAAATTGGACCAAGATGGTACTTTAGAAAGGTCATTTTTCGATTTTCTCAATAGTTATTTAATGCCACGGGAAAAAGTATTGAAAAATTACGAAAAACCGCTTAAAATGAGATTTTAATTTCTAACAATTTGTTTATCACCGTAGCAACGAATAAAAAAAATAATAATTAAATAAATAAAATAATTAATGACAATATAAAATATACAGACTGACAAACCGTCTCCGTTCAGAATCGTTTTTCTTATACAATGATATTATATCATTGAATTCAAGTTTAATACAATCCATTAAACAATGACCAACTTGTAACCTACTGTACAGCTGAGCGACATCCACTTACCTGCCTTTTTTTTTAAAGCTTCTTTTTATAAATTCAAGGTATTTTAATCATAAGTTTTATAGAAATAAACAAAGTATCTATTGAAGATTAATTTAGTTTTTTTTCACTCCTGGATAAAAGTGATTCCTAGAAATTATGATTTAATAACTCCTAACTAAATATAATTATATTTTTATATGAATTACAATATGTATTTAGCTAATTACTAAAGATTATACTAACATTTATTTGTGATTTTGTATAGGGCTGAAATAATAAACATGGATATTCAGTCAGTAGATTCTAGTCGTAGCCGATCAACTAATCGGTATGAAACTGTTTCATATCAAAATTTTCTTGATATGGAAATCCTATGCGATCGGTTAATACTGCTTGATTATGAATCATATGTAGTGAAATCATTAAAAATGAGACCAATCAATAGGTAAATTAAATAAATAGTTATATTAATTTTTAATTAAATAATTAATAATAAAATTAATGATGTATTAGACATTATTTTGCCTTACAAACTAGTTCCGGAGAACAGTTTTACATGTTTGTATCTTTAGCCATATGGCTGTTAAGCAAACTTGGTAAAGATTTAAAACAGCCGCAAGAATATGATGATCCAAATTCAACAGTTAACAGTATACTAGAATCGTCTGCACAATTAGTATGAAAAAAATAGTACAATGTCGAACTATAGATATAAATATAAAAGTATCTATTTCTTTTAGGAATTATCTGTTGATTTTCCAGTCAATCAATTAAAACAAGGATTTGGAAAACATGTCATTGAAATTTTAAATGGGCTTGCAGATTTGGTTTTAAAAAAAAATAATTTCCCCTACAAAAAGTATAAAATAATATTTTTAAATGAATATTATTTGAATAGCAACTTTAAATTTTAGGCCAACATTTCCAGTTGAAAAAGAAGAAATAGAAGAATTACCTGAAAATAATGCAGAGCTTTTATTAGAACATGTTGAAGAAGAAATGGTTTGGACCGACTCCGATTCCGACGAAGAAAATATGCTTAATATTAATGATTTGACTGCTTTAAATAAGGTAAATAATAAATATACAAATTTGCTAGGAATTTCTATAAAAATATAAATTCCAGAATAATAGACAAACATCTTATAAAACAAATGAGAAATTAAAAATTACATCTGCCAATAAAGAAGAATGGAACCTAGAATTAGAACAAGTACTACCTTCATTACGAGTAACAATCAAGCTAGGTATGTAATTATATTTTAACAAATAAATAATTTTGGTTGTATTTAAATCATTAAATGCTAAAAATTGTAATTCTTATTAACATTTGGTTTGGTTTTTATTTAATAATATTTTAGTCATTTTAATTATTTTTAAAAATAGCTGTTTGATATTTGTTTAAAATATTTTTTACAATACATGTCAATAATAAATAATAATAAATATTTGATTCATCAATGTATTTTATTATTTTTATTAAATCTAAACAAATCATTTATACTATTTCTGATATCAACATCCCTTTTTCTCAACCAATACTATACCATATTCAATAATATTTGCCACCAAACGATGCGTTATTGCTTCCGCTTCTGACATCGATCAATGTCTTTCCATTGCCCTATTTTGTTAAAAATTACGTTTAAATGAAACAAAAATTCACCATTGGCATACACCTGTAATGGACACGCAACTCACAAACTTTATGGACAACTATGTCAAATGGATACGCATCTAACAAACCCAATTTTGGTAATATAACAACCGAAAACAACTATAGGCGTAGAAAATAGTCCCTTCTTCAAATTAATTTTTAGATATTCAATATTAAAACGTAATAGACAAACACCTAACATGTTCTCTCTATTGTTTTCGGAACGTACATACAAAAAATAAACTTTTTCACAAACCTCACAAACATACTATATAATTTATCATGCCTTTGTAACTGTACGTAGTACTGCAAACGGGCCAAATAGTTATTATGTATTCATTAAAAATCTGTTTAGAAAGTAATAATTTCTATCGGGTAATTTTTATTTACATTAATTAATTTTATATGCATATAATATTATGTTTGTATTGATCTAATATTTTTATTCTTATAATTACTTAGATTACAAAGATTGGCGAACAAGTTTGAAACAAATGAAGGAACACAAATGTATGATGAATACATCCATAGAAAAAGTCAAGCCTCTTTTGACCAATCTTTGTAGTACACTAGGAGAAACTATGGAGAAAGTTTATAGTAGAGAACAATACTTGAACAGTTCTTTAGACAATCTTTTAATAGAATACCGTAATTCTCAGGTATAAACATTAAAAAATAATTACTGAAAGTTTAATTGTTTTTTTTTTTATTATTGTTTAGGATGAACTAGCTAAAGTTATTGAACATTATAAACTTTTAAGTAATGGTATTGTAGAACGACAAGATACATTATTAAAAATAACTGAACAATTAGATATTGTTAAACAAGAAATGGACGAAAGAGGATCAAGTATGACAGATGGAAGTAAGTTTACTATTATGCGATAGTATCATATTATTTTCATTAATTATTTTAATACTCAATTATAGCTCCACTAATCAATATAAAAAAAGCAATAGCAACTATTAAGTCAGATATTATGGAAATGGATGTTCGTATTGGTGTATTGCAACATGGATATTTTATGTCTAAGGTACATGAAAAATCTGTTATTCAAGATCCTATGATAAGGCCAATATTTCCTAGAACTGTGTTGTGATAATATTATGTACCTACACTTCTTTCTTGTGGCTTGCATTAGTTACAAGTCACTAGTTAGTAAATATTTAAATTTTATGTTTTTATGATAGATACATTTGTAAATTATATTTTTTTAATTAGCTACCACATATAAGCAAGATGTTTTACTTATGTGTACCTATTATAAATTAAGTGCAATAAAAGTAAGAACACATTTTTAATAAATTATATAATATTTAATTCCACAACATGGTTAGATCTATACTTAGTTAACTTCTTACAATAGGCTTAACAATTATCTCTGTATAAGAGATTAAATTTAATCTGAGTCTCTCACGACACACATGTTTAAAATCAATAGGAGCTTATCAAAATTTTATATAAACATTGTGTAAAGAGGTTATTCTAAGACAATAAAATTATTTAATCTTATTTTCATGTAAAAATAAATAATGTCTATAATGTGAAGTATTTGGGTATAGTAGTATAAATTTCCTATTGTTTATATATAATATAAGCTATAAAATATAAGTGTATTAAGAAATATATCTGAATCTGAACATTCTATGTCTGATTTGAGCTTGATATACTGCCAGTGGCGTGGTGAACATTTATAAACCTTGATGCCCAGCATATATTTCAGTACCTACCCCTTCTTTATCCCCTTAATATAATATATAATACATATAATTATTATGGAACTGTAAATATTTTAATTTTTGTTGTATGTTATTGGTTACCATAATGTACCCAACCACCCCACCCCAAAAAAAAAAAATTCACCATGACGCCTAGGCGTCATAAAACCCCATTCACCACGCCACTGTATACTGCAATCAGTGCAATGTGTAATTAATTTTAAAACATTTAAAATATTTTTAGCGTCTTTGGAAAGTTTTTAGGTAATACTAAATGCTTGAGCTGGACAAAAATAGCTATAGTAGGTATAGTCATAATAAATAAATTATAATTTATGTGTAACATAGAAAAATCATTACATTTCAAATTTGCTAATAAATCTAAAAGAAAAAGGTGGCAAGTGGATGTTGCTCTGCTGTACAGTAGGTTACAAGTGGGTCACTGAAATGTATGGTGTTAAATTTGAATTCAATGATATAATATCATTGTGTAAGAAAAACGATTCTGAGCGAAGACGATCAGTCAGCCTATGATATTACTAAGTATATTTGATGATATATAATTATGAATTAAGTAATTATTTATATATCGTTAGCTATAAAAGTTGAACATTTTATAAATTTTTAACTACAAAATATTTATTACATTTTGTCAAAATTTGAACTTTAAATGCTTAAAAAAAATTGTGCCTATGTATTATTAATATCTTTCCAGTTTCCACTGCTATTGTAACAATATATGAGGAGCCTTGTATTAAATTTTTACGCTTTTTGGCCCAACAAATAAAATTGTATTGATATTGTAGAAAAAAAAAACTAAAAAATTGAAATTTGAAATTGTCCGTAAACAGCTCAAAATGAATCAAAAAATATAAACATTCAGTGGAATTTTCATGTATCTACAGTAATTCGTTATTGAATTACAACAAAATAAGAAAATTGCTACATGAGAAATCGAGTGAATATGCATGCAATGTTGTATTTTTCCCGACGCTTTTGAAAATTACTGGGAATTTTGACCTCCCCAAGCACTAAAAATATTTATTTTCCCATCGAACAAGATACTGAAGTTAAAAATTGAAGCATTATTTCGACTACCTACTTATCGTGTACACGGATACAAAAAAAAAAAAAAAAACCCATTGTGAAACCAATACATACATCACTCGGCTCGCAAAATATTAAAATATAGGTGATAATATAATATATTAAATAATAATATACTACAGAATACAGATGCACTGTAATACCTATAAAGTATTAAAGTATGTATAGGTATTCGTATTCCGTATTAACATTTCTCACACTTGAAATCAAATAAAATAGACAGTAGTATATATTATTATTGTATATACCTACCTTATTGCTACCTATAATATAACAATTAAATTCCATTTTTAATGAGGTGCCTCATTACTCATTAGTCATTACCTACAAGGTTTAAATTGCGGTTAAAGTAGATACTAGATACACATTTAAAAAAAGGTGGGAAAGTGGATGTCGCTCTGATGTACAGTAGGTTACAAGTGGATCAATGTAATGGATGGTGTTAAATTTGAATTCAATTATATATAATATCATTGCATAAGAAAAACGATTCTGAGCGAAAACAGTCAGTCAGTCAGCCTACAATATTACTAAGTATCTATATATATGATGATATTATTGTGAATATTATAGTAATTTATATATAACCTATTTACGTAGAACCTTGTTTTAAATTTGTAATCCTTAGCTATAAAAGTTGAACATTTTATACATTTTTAACTAAAAATAATTATTAAATTTTAAATTTGATATATTTTGTCAAAATTTGAACTTTAAATGCTTATAAAAAGAAATTGTGCCTATGTATTTTCAATGTTTTTCAACTGCTATTGTAACAATATATCAGCTTTCCCTTCAATTTTCACGCTTTTTAACAAATAAAATTTTATTGATATTCATCGAAGAAAAAACAAAAAAAATTGAAAACTCACAATGTCCGTAAACACCTTAAAAATATTTAAAATAATTAAATAATAATAATTAAAATATTTTTAAAATTGTATGGTGTATAGAAAATGAAAATATAAACATTCAGTATAATTTTCATGTATTTACAGTTATCCGTTTTTGAATAATAACAAAATCGCTTTATGACAAATCGAGTGAATATCCAATAGATATCGTAAAAATATGAATTTCAAACGCTCAAAAAATTTAATTTGATTTGCTTGAAGACATTTTTCTTTGATACAGATAGACAAACTTATGAATAATCTTGTATTACATTTTCAAATCTTAGATTTAAAAAGAAAAATTTTTATGAATTTCTAACTCAAAATAATTTGCAAATTTTATTCATTTTTACGTATTTTGTCAATATTTGAACTTTAAATGCTTACAAAAAAAATTGTGACTATGGATTTTTAATTTTTTTCATCTGCCTTTGAAACAATACACTAGGAGCATTCTATTAATTTTTCAACCAACAAATAAAATTATTGATATTTATAGAAAAAAAAAACTAAAAAAAAATTTAACTGAAAATGTTCGTGAAGAGCTCAAAGTAAGTAAAATATTTGGAAAATGTTATGGTGTATAGAAAATTCTAATATAAACATTCAGTCAAAATTGCATGTACCTACGGTCATTTATTTTAGAGTTGCACCAAAAACCAAAATTGATTTTCTTGAAAACGGATTTTGCGTAAAAATTTTCGTTTTTCCTTAATTTTTCCTTTGTTTTTCACTTCGCATTTGAAACCTGGGAAATTTTTACTTTCGACCCCCCAAAGTACCGACTAGATTCACTTTCCTATCAGAAAGTTGAAGAAAATCTAAGCATTTTTACTGTCCTAAAGGCTAAAAGGTGTGATGACAGACACAAAAAAAATAAAAAACACACATCATTGTAAAATCAATACATTCATCGTTCCACTCAGAATCTAAAAGTAAGTGTTGTTTTAATATCAGTGGCAGTTTAATACTTTAATTATTGATATAGATATTATAGTGTCGTATTATAGAATATAGATACATATAATACATACATGTATAATAAATAATAATGGATGGACAGGTAAATATTTTATAATTGAAGGCAGATCCGAGTGAAAAGTATACGTTCTGAGTAGGTTTAACTGCGTACAAGTACCTATGTTTTGGTATAATATATACTATATATATAGGTAGATTGCGGTAGGTACACATTACATATTATTAATTATTATATACTGGTACCTAATATATAGGTATATCTAATAGCTATAGGTATGTATTTAGGTAAACTATATACCTATTACTAGTTATACTACCTAATATACCTATATACACCTGGATATTATATTCTATTATATTAATGTAGGTACTGGTTTGCATTCAGTCAAGTAGTCAACACAACCTGTCCTTAAGTATGTCGTACGATCAGAATTTAATTACAGGTATCTTTTTATATACATGCGGCTTGAGTAAAAAAAAAAAACCAGAGCTTTATTAAAGGTAAAAAATTAACCAAATGAAACGTGCGGGGACACGTTCGTTTAATATTGATTTCTCTCCGACAGGCTACAAAATATTATGCTAGTTATATATACGGACAGCCGGCAGCCCGTGCGAAAACGACGCCGTGATTCAATTATATCGACGGCCGACCTTGGGACACGGAACCAAAGTTATACATAAGTATACAAATACACGATCGTCGATACATAATACATAATGTATCAAGCCTATGCGTGAGCGTGTTGTCCGTGTCGCACCGTCGTGGATGTCAGCTGATCGCCGTTCAACCCGGGTGAACGGGTATTGGCGTATTGCCATTAATAATAATAATTATTGCCGTATTGGGCTCGGCGCTGAGTGCAGACGGTAGCCGACGGGCGCCGCACACGGCACACGCTCCGACCGAGTGTACGGTCTAAACTTGAGACTTCTACAGTTCTACCACAGTACCACCGCGTCAGGTGTTATTATCGTATATTCCTCGCCACCGGCTCCATCCCCGCCACCAAGGCATACCCACGTATTCGGGTCGTGATTCGTGACGTCATACGCACCACCTCTCTTCAGGCGCTCAACGACGTCCGACGACTACCGGACGGCGACGACGACGGCGATTGTTGGTCTGCAAGGGGAGCAGTAGGAATAACGGGCAACGGGCTAACATCAAATAACAATAATAACAACAACATAGATCAGTCACTCAGTGCAGTGTCTTTGCGACGTGTCAGGGCGAATCGTTGTTTTTCAATCGTCATTGTAATATTATAGGTATAAAATAATATTTCGTTTCTGCGTCCATCATCACACTCAAACACCACCAACTATGTCTGCACACGCTTCCGGCAAGCTCATCATAGTGTCCAACAGGCTTCCGTTCGTTCTCAAAAAAAACGAACAGACGCAAAAATGGGAAAGAAAAGCCAGGTATGATTGGGTTTAAGTACTATTTTTAAAAACATAAAAAAAATATAACCGATGTCCAATGTGAATTTAGTACCGTGTGTTTTATCTCGGTTTTTGTTAAGCAAGAACAAAAATGATAAGAACCTTGTGTGTTTGTTATAGAGTAAATAATACTAAATACTCTATGGCGTATTGGCGTGCGTGTATGTTATCAATATTGACAACATTTATCATTTCGTTACCCGCCGTGTGTTCGCTTCAATCGTATATTGTAACTGTTTTTAAAACTACTCGCTGGACCAGATATTTTCTTACATTGTTTTAAATTTGTTCGTTCTATTCCAATAATTGACGATGCTTAAGAGATTTGCAGCAACTACTCTGTATGCGTTCCGCCTGCCGATTAACTGGCAACCGGCGTCCAATGTTTGTCTTTGTCGGACGTTAGAATTCAAGAAAAATAGATTGGAGATTGACAATGAAGGTGCTCTAAAAAAGATTAGACCCAAAACAGTACCACTGCCGAAAATTACACTGTTGGGACTAGAAAAAGATGTATCTGTAGTCACTTTAGATGTAGCTTCCAAGATGTGTGAAAGACGAGGCCTGAAATTGGTAAAAATTGTTGATATTGATACTAAAACACAGCGGCCTGTATACCAAATGATGACAGCCAATCAGTTCCTCAAAGAGGATCATAAAAGTCATAAGGATAAGGATGAGAAAAATCATAATCAACTCAAAGGGGAAAAAACAGCATTGATAAATTGTCGTATTGGACAAAGTGATTTAGAATCAAAAGTAAATAATATCCGTAAATGGCTTTCTAAAATGCATGAAGTAAGGGTGACAATCACTGGGGATACAGCTAATGAGGTTGCTGATGAAGTCATCAAAATGACTCAGGAGAGCTCAAGAGTTGTTCAAAGACGAGAAAAAGGAAATGCTGTGAAGTTTCAGTTATTACCTCCAAAAAAATCTTGATTCATATTTTAGCTATACCTACTTACAAATAATTATTTTTTTAAATTATAGATTATTATAGGAACCTTAAATTTAAATTAATTGTAACTGTTATATTGAGATTATCAATGTTTACAAATAAAAACTATTTTACATAAATTATTTTTTACATTTTTTCTCTTCAATTTTCTTATAATGTTTACGGTATAGTTCCTAAACAAAAGTAAGTATTTTTTGGCTCAATATGTTGGATGGTTTTCAAATATGTAATATAAAAAAAAATTAGGAATGACACTTGCCAAATAAACAAAATGTCTTTGGGTATAGTTTATTTATATGGAAAGAGAGTAGGTTGCTTAAATAAACATATCCAATCATTGTTTATTATAATTTGGGTATGCTACCCGGTATGCTATTAAAAAATGTATTGGAAAAAACTAATGATCCAAGTAAACATTTAAATTATATCATTATTTATTCTATAATTGAAATTGATATTATGGGTCATTTTAGTTGAAATTCTAGATTGAATTTTGCTATTACAGCACATCAGTTATCTAATAACAAACAAATATTATTACAAACACCTAGATATATCATGTTAGTTAAACACAATTATTAAATTGTTTATACATACAAGAAATATTATATAATATCTATTATTTAGTATGCTAATACAATATTATTTATAGAATAAATATTAAATTGAATTAGTTATACAATGTTGTAATAATTAGAAGGTTACTACTTACTAATTTAAATTTAAAAACTATTTTTTTTTCATAAATGAAAATAAAATATCGGTATGGATCATAATTTATATACCTTACTTTGTTTATGAAATTATTAAAACCATTTTATTTCTAAAATAAAACATTAAATGAGAGTTAAATATAATATAAGATAATATACAGTTTTTGTAAGACTTTATAAGGTTTAACATTTTAACATAAAAGATCACTGTAGGGCGTAGGCAGATTTTTTGAACTATAAATGGTCATAATGAACATTATCTAAAAAAGTATTCTCATTTATTAAAATGGTACCTTTTACAAAAGAAGTTATCCCAAATCAAACAGAAGAACATTTTTATGAAACAATTATATTCACCAGTTTTTAACTTATTACCTTTTCAATGGCAACCAAAACATTTTTAACTTTCCAAAACCAAATATTTTTAGAGATTTTTATATTATATCATAATTATTAAATAATTGTACATTTTTTATTAGGTTAATACCAAAATTTTACGAATTTGAGAATTATTTTGATATTGAAATCGAACAGTACAAAGCTTCGTGAGTTTTCATTGAACAGACAAAACATGTTTATTTTGATTAGTGTACCTACTTGTGTGATTAAATGGTAACGCATCACGCATGATATTTGTTGTATGTATGTTATCACCAAATTCAAAATCTCTAAAAAAAACTTTTAATAATGTTCAGTCCGTATTATAAATTGTTTGATACTTTGATTCCATTTAAATATTCACTCCAACTTATTAATTACTTATCCATGGCACTCTTTGCATGCCTTGACTGAATGCAAGATACTCAATACTCATTATTTCCCATTGTTTTTTTTATAAAAAATATATTATATTATCTTAATGATATATTTTATATAATAACTTGAATGCATATTATATTAGGCGTAACGCCATTAGAAACGAGATTATAATGTATAATAATATCTATGCTAATTATAGCTAAATTTGTTTACATTTTTCACAGTGTAATGTTTTAATTACTTATAAGTTATTACTTAATACTTATTATTATTGTTATAATTGTATAGAAATTAAATGACAGTTGCGATTTGCTATAAACAGACTAGAATTCTACTATAGAGTATAAAAAAATATAGACATAATTCAAAGTGCTATTATTTGTTAAAACTTAACAAAAAAATAATTAATATATATATATAATAAATACTTCATAGTTCATGTCAAAAAATGTTATTATTAATTTGGTAAACATTTCAAGGAAACGGTTATTCCGAGCTATTTATTTTTAGATTACAAAAATAAATACTTCATGTCAAAATTGGTGTTTTGTTTTCGTTATTAATATTACCGTTTGGGTAATATTATTTGAAATATCTTTCTTTACACCCCCCCCCCCCCCCCCACCACTGAATTAATATTCAACCTGCAATGAGTGCAATACATCACGCTCCGCTCAGAATGACGGAAATACAGAATCTAAATTTCATTTTGTTCAACTTATCATAATATTTATACTGTATATACTATATAATTTAAAGGTGTAAAATAATAAATTAGTCTCGAAGATGCTAACTTTCAAGACCTTTATTTTTCAGCTTTCTATAGTCTATACTATGGTTTTTTTAAATTATCAGTATACACACACTACCCAGACATTAAGGCTTATTACAGAAATTAATATCTTTAATCATTTCAATACGTGCAATTACTGCAATGTTTAGTGTGTTACATATTATTATATTATCATAGAAAATAAAACAATTCAATTTAACTGTTCATTATTATGTAATACTGATGAATGATCAACAACAATCACAATTTTATGACGTGTAAGGGCTGGGGATCAACATTTTTGAGTTTCATTAGGCATAATAATAATAATAATAGTAATAAAAATAATAAAACAAAATTAAGCTATTAAAAATTTAGAGATAAGAAGTACCAACGATAAATGTTAAAATAATCGACCTCTATGTTATTGGTAGGTTATGAGTTATGACTAGAGTTATGAGTGTTTCACTATAATTTATATCATTGTTAACTGTTGTACAAAGATAAACAGTCATATATATATATATACATAATACCTATTACCTATCTTATGTTTAATTAAATAATTATTTATCAAAACTATTATAAAATAATTTTTATAGTTTTACCCACTGTTTTTTATTTAATATCAGAATATTAACAAGTTGTGTACTTCTGGGTCTTCCCACTCTTATTATTGCCAGTTGTTACTACTATTTGTTAAAAATAATAAGTAGGTATACTTATTACTTATTGTACCTACTATTTACTAATTGTACTGCAGACTATAATTTATTAAAAAAAAATATCATGTTCAAGATTGAGGAAAAAATTACATTACAAACCACACCTCTAAATTCTTTAATTTAAATTAGTAGGTATAATATTATAAATCCGCCATCTGCGTTTTAACTTTTAATTAGATTAACATTGTAAAAATACCTGACACAATTAAATTAATAAATAAATAAAAAAAAACTTTTAGTTCGATTGATGGATTTCTTTAATAATTTTTACTTTCTAGTGTGGTACACTGGTACTACACATTAGTAGAATTGATATCAGTATTTTTTTGGGGGATTCACTGTTCAGTATATTATTAAATTAGTGATCGGATATTCGAGACTCCCACCACCAACTAACCATCAAACCTCCCCACTCTTCAGACTCTTAACCAAAAAATTAAGTTATGTGACCCGTTTTAATAGAGTAGGTACCTAGGTAGCAAGGTAGTAACTACTTTGTTACTTTATTTCGATATGTAGGTAACAAAGCTCATTCAGAGGAGTTTTAAATGGTTATAATAAAATATGTTTTTTAACAGTAAAAGTTGGATGGGGGTGGCTGTTTTGAATTTTTTATACATTTCCAAGTTGTGACTTTTGGAGATTTATCCGAGCTTATCTCTATATGTGTCAATACCTACCATTGTGAATAGGCTATTGCTTTTTCCGGTTGTAATTTGGTTTGTGTGTTTTCGTATTAATCGATACTAAATAGCTGCTTGATTTGATTATTATAATTATTATTTTTATTATATTTTACTTAATGGGGATTGGTGATTGATAAGTACAGTAAAACATCATCTATAAGGCTATAACAGGCCCTAAATAGCGGATGTTTTTTTTGGGAAAAACTACAAATTGTACCCTCTGAATAGCGGAAAAATGTCAGTGCCCGAGAGTGTCCGTTATTTAGAGGTTTCACTGTATTATACCTACTGCTGTTTCATTACCATATATATACATGGGGTAATATAAGCGTATTTTGTTGTTTGGAGGATATCGACTGCAGCAGTTACCTAATGCGTTTTAAGGACTGCAGACGATAAACCGCTTCCTTATGCTCAAGTACTACAATTTTTATATTCTATTATTATTATATTGAACTGCCCGTTTTGGATAGTTTGACGACGTATGTCATACATAATATGTTGATAATTCGTTGACATTATATTGCATAAACCTTCATAAACTAATAAAGTACCCAGACAGTACTTTGCAATGATAATATTATAATAACTTTATTCTAATATTATTCGTTATTAAAATGGTCTAATAATTTTTTTAAACAAAAATTGCTGTCTGGTATATGCTGCCAGCTATATGCTTAACATTTCTCAAATTCCGTACTGTACTTTAATGTGATTAAACTAAAATTTGCAGTCATTATAATCCGTTTAAACAAAATTGGTAGGTAATTACTTATTACTCACATTTATTACTAGTGGACAGTGGTGCGTATAGTAGTTAATGGTACCTATTTTGTTTGTGTAGTTTTTAAAGCCTAGTGCTATACGAAATAAAAATCAATATTATTGTGTATTATTTATAGATGCTCTCGTTGGGCGGTGGGATATAGCTTTGTTATTGAATAGGTATTTTTAATACTAACCATAGATTATATACATTATTAGCTGGGTGTAGACCAATAATATTAATAAGTACCTAATTATACCTAATTGTTCATCACATAAATAATTCGTTATATATTGAAAATATAGGTGTATAGTATAGTATGTAGCATGTATAAATTATGTTTAGGAATTTAATAATTATAGGAAGTGCGAAAATATTAATTGTATCAATTATCTCATTGTATATTTAGCTAATTTAGGTTGTACCTACTATTATAAACTTATTATTTTACATAATTCGATTTTTATTTTATTTGAGTCACTGTCTTAGCCAGCAATGACTTGTTATAACATAAATGGAATACCTATTTAATGAACAATAAAATTCATGGGAAAATATGT